GGGGGGCCTGGCCTGGCTGGGCAGCAAGGAAAATAAAAAAGCCCCAAAATTTTGGGGTTGGGGGGAGGAGAGAAAAAGGGGGGGGGGTTAAGTGTATAAGAGGCTTATTTACACAGTATTAACATGCTGACAAAAAAGGTTACAATATTGATATCGTACAACATCGAGGGGGGAAATAATGGGGGGGGTAAAAAAGAACTGGGGTAAAAATAATGGGGGGGGTAAAAAAGAACGGGGGTTAAAAATTAATAAAAGGTAAATAAAACACCCTGAAAAAAAAAACAAAAAACAAATGAACAACAACAAAAAAAAAAAAACCAAAGAAACGCTGAGTTAAGGCTTAAAAAGTGTATAAAAAATAACACAGTTAATATCCAAAATGAACCAAAAGGTACAGAATATAGATGAGGTTTGGGGGGTGACCCCCCAGGCTCTATACAGGGGGTATGTACAGGCAGGCACAAGGCAAAGCGGTGGGACCCCCCCAGACCCCCCAAAAGCGGGGCTGTGGGATGGGGGGGGTCCAGCCCCGGGGGGACGCAGCTCTGCCCTCGAAAGGGACCCCAAAAGAACACAAAAAAAACCCCAAAATGGTTAAAAATCAACCCCAAATGGAGGCGCTCGGGCCCAGAGTCCGTTTGGGGGGGAGGCAGTGGGGGCCCCCCCTCCTCTGCTCCCCCTCCTCCCCCAGCTGCGTTTTTGCTCCGTCCACGGTTCGTTTTTGGGGTGAATTTCTGGTTTTTTTAGCAGCACCAAGTTCTTGGCCAATAAATATATATATATATTTGTATCCAAAAACGGGGGGAGGGGGGCTGGGGGGTCTGGCAGGGGGCAGGGGTGACGCCCCCACTCCCCACTGCTCCCCTCCCCCCCCTCCGCCTCCCCCCCAAAATAAAACCAAACCGCAGAGATTCAAAGTGCTCTGAAACCGTCTTTGGGTGTCACCAAACCTGCGGGGGCACGGCCCGCGGCGCCGGGGGGGGCTCCTCCTCCTCCTTCCTCCTCCTCCTCCTCCTCCTCGTGCTGGGGGGGTCCTGCTGCCGCCCCCCCTCCCCGCTTAGATGAGGGAGATCCGTACGGGAATGCCGGGGGACTCCGTGCGCTGCGGCGAGTGCTGGCTGACCAGGTGCTCCACCACCGTGTGCTTGGACATGTGCTTCATCAGATAGGTCTCCTGGGGAAGGGGGCACAGGGGTCAGGGGGGGCCCAGGGGGGCTCTGGGGGGGTGTGGGGTGCCCCCCGTGCTCACCGAGGTGTAGGCACGGCCGCACATGCTGCAGCAATAGGCCTTGGCGTGTTTGATGGCGTGGGCAGACAGGTGGATCTGCAGCGAGGCCGAGTCCGTGTAGGCCCGGTAGCAGTTGGGGCACTTGTAGGGCTTGTCCTTGTTGTGCTGGCGCTGGTGGGACTGGGGAGGCACACGGGGGGGGTCAGGCAGGGCTGGAGGGACCCCCCTGCCGCTGCCCCCCCTGTCCCAGGCCCCCCGCACTGACCTGGAGGTTGGAGAGCTGGGTGAAGGCCTTCTCGCAGCCAGGGTGGGGGCACTTGTAGGGTCTGTCGCCGGTGTGGATTCTGGGGACGCACAGATGGTCACGTCACCGCCCCGCCAACACCGCGGCCACGGGGACATCGGGGACATCAGGGACATCAGGGACATGGGGGCATCGGGGACATTGGGGGCACGGGGACATGGGGACACAGGGACATCAGGCACACGGGGACATTGGGGACATGGAGACATCGGGGACACGGGGACATCGGGGACATGAGGACACAGGGACATCGGGGACATGGGGACATGGGGACATTGGGGACATGGGGACATTGGGGGCACGGGGACATAGGGACACGGGGACATCAGGGACACAGGGACATCGGGACATTGGGGACATCGGGGGCACGAGGACATCGGGGCTCCAGGACAGGTGGAAGGAGGGGGATGTGGGGGGCTGGGATATGGGAGAGGATGGAGGTGCTGGGGACGGTGAAGGTGGGGAGGATGGGCCTGGTGAGGAGGATGGGCCTGGTGAGGAGGATGAAGGTGGTGAGGAGGGACTGGCACAGCACAGACACGTGACCATGGCGGGGTCAATGAAAGTGGTGAGGATGGTGGGGATGGTGGAGATGACAAAGACAGTGGAGACAGACTGGTGTGGTGGGGAAGATGAGGGTGGTGAGGATGAGGGTCACAGGGAGGGTAAAGGTGGTGAGGATGGACTTGACACAGCACGGACAGATGACCAATGAAGGTGGTGAGGATGGACTGACACAGCACGGACAGATACCATGGTGGGGTCAATGAAGGTGGTGAGGATGAGGAGCGTGGTGGGGATGAAGAAAGCAGTGGGAACAATGAGCTGGGTGAAGATGGAGGAGCACAGTAGGGACAATAAAGGTGCTGGAGATGATGAGTGTGGCGGGGAGGAAGAAGGTGGTGGGGACAACGAAGACACTGAAGGCTGTGACGGTGGTGGGGATGATGAGCACGGTGGGGATGATGAGCACAGTGGGGATGACAAAGCTGGTGGAGACAGTGAGTGTGGTGGAGACCATGGAAGTGCTGGAGATGATGAGTGTGGTGGGAATGATGAAGGCCATGGGGGCAGTCAGTGTGGGGGGGAATGGATGAGCACAGTGAGGGTGGTGAGTGAGGTAGGGGTGACAAGTATGGTGGAGACTATGAAGGTGTTGGAGACACTGAGAGGGACAGTGAGCATGGTGGGGATGATGAGTGTGTTGGGGATGATGAAGGTGGTGATAATGAGTGTGTTGGGGATGGTGAAGATGTTGGGGATGATGAAAGTGCTGATGAGTGTTTTGGGGAGGATGAAGGTGCTGGAGATGATGAAGGTGCTGGAGATGATGAAGGTGCTGGGGATGATGGTGGTGGTGAGGATGATGAGTGTGTTGGGGATGAGGAAGGTGCTGGAGATGATGAGCATGGCAGGGATCATGGTAGTTGTGTTGAGTGTGTTGGGGATGATGAGTGTGTTGAGGATGATGAAGGTGTTGGGGATGATGAAGGTGTTGGGGATGATGAAGGTGTTGAGGATGATGAAGGTGTTGGGGATGATGAAGGTGTTGGGGATGATGAAGGTGTTGGGGATGATGAAGGTGCTGACGAGTGTTTTGGGGAGGATGAAGGTGCTGCAGATGATGAGTGTGGTGGGGATGGTGGTGGTGACGTGGCAGGGATGAAGGCAGCAGCGGGGCCAAGGGGCACCATAACGCAGGGCAGCAGAGCCACCAGTGCAGGGTGCAGGGCCCCTCTATGGCCAAGGGGGCTCCCCGAGGGTCCCCCAGCCCTCCCGAGGGTCCCTCACCGGGTGTGCTGCTGGAGGTGGGACAGCTGGCGGAAGGACTTCTCGCAGTAGGAGCAGTGGTAGGGTTTGACGCCCAGGTGGATCCGCAGGTGCTGGGCCAGGTAGGAGGCGTTGGCGAAGGACTTGGAGCAGTGGGGGCACTTGTGGGGCTTGGCCTCCGTGTGCGACTTGGAGTGGATCTGCATCTCCGACTTGGTGAAGAACGTCAAGGGGCAGACCTTACACCTGGAGGGTGTGGGGGAGAACCCCGCAGGGACCGGGCTGGGGCGGGGGTGGCCCCGCCAGCGCCCCGGCCCCCACGGCAGGCGGGGGGGTGCCTACCTGTACGTCTTGCCCTCTTTGGCCGTCTCCCCCGAGGCCAGGATGGGGTAGGGCACCACCAGGACGGGCGGGCCCGAGGGGTTTTCCGCCTTGATCTTCTTGCGGCCCCGCTCGGCCTTGGGCGCTCCCAGCAAGCCGTGGCCCTGGATTGTCTTGATGGAGTCGAGGAGGGGGGGGCTGGTGATTCCTGAGATTAGGGTGGGCGAGGAGGCGATGAGGCGGCTCTGGCTGGTGGAGGTGGGGGTCGAGGGCGTGGTGGTCCCGGTTCCCGGGCTGGACTCCGAGGTGCTGACGGCAGGCGCGCGGGATGCCAGCCCCAACCCTGGCGAGGGCGAGGAGAGGGGAGGTGGGGGCTCTGGAGGGGCCCCCTGTGCTCTCCCGGCCCGGGGGGCCCCCGTGGTACCTGTGACGGTGCTGGTGGCCGGCCGGGCGTGCAGGGCCACGTCGGGCTGGGGCACGGCCTGGGGGTGCAGCCCCGGCACCTGCTGCAGCTTGGGCAGGGACATGATGGACTGGCTGCTCTCGGCGGGCGAGGGGGGCACCAGGAGGGGCTGCTGGGAGGCCACCGAGGTGGGGGGCAGGTGTGGGGGGCGGATCTTCTCCGCCATCAACTGCTCCTTGATTTTGTTGATCAGGACCAGGTTGTCCAGCTGAGGGGGAGGAAGGCAGAGAGGTGGGTCAAGGCGCAGGAACCGGGATCCCCGGGACACCCTGCCTCCCCCTGGGCTTCCCCCTCCATGTCCATCCCTCTTTCCCCCTCCCCAAAATCCCACTGTGGGGGTCCTACCTGGCTGGGCATGGTGGGGGGGGGGCGGCCAGAAGTAGGGGTTGTTGAAGCGAGGCTCCGCCATCCTGGGGAGAGAGGGGCTGGTTATGGGGTGTCACCGGTCCCCGCACGGACCCCCTTCCCTCCCACCTCCCTTGGGGGGCTCCGACCCCCCAAACCAACCACCACCCCCCAGGAAGCAAGACCCAGGCTCTGAGCAAGGGCAGGGAGCAGGCAGGGCTGAGGAACCCCCCACAGGCATCTTCCCAGATGGAAATTCCTGCAGGATCAGGGAGACACCCGCCTGTCTCCGAGACCCCGAAACACCAGCGGATGCAATTTGGGAAAGGGGGAAGGCTGACATTTGAGGGAAAAAGCTTGGGATATCTCCCAAGCTCTGGAGGTATCCTTCCCATCCAGGAGGGATTAGAGTGGACAGGACACTGCTGTGGGAGATGGCAAATCCCAGCTGAATTCCCCTCCAAAAACCCCCCCAAAGGCGAGCGAAGCCCTCGAGAGCGGCGGGGCGGGAACCCCCGGCTGCAGCAGGGCCGGGAGATTTATGGAGACGCTTTAAGGCAATGGGGAAATTAATTCTGAACCCATTCTCGGTAACAGGAAGCAGCTGGAAGGGGACAGCGAGGGGGTGATCCCAGTGGAACGGCCCAGCACGACCAGGCACCGCCGCGCCGGCAAATCCCCTCACGGGGGCAAGGGGGAAAGGGTGGGAGGTACGGGAGGGGTCCCACAGGAGCTCCCGCTCCAAAATAAACCAGGCCATGGCCGGGATCCCGGGAGAAACTGGAGCAGTGCGTGTCCCCAGAAGCCCTGGGGGTGGCAGGATTTGGGGGCAGTGGGATTTGGGGGTGATGAGCCTTCCTCTTCCTCCTCCTCCTCCTCACACTCGCTCGCTGCCTTGGGTTTCAGTCAGACCCTGAGCTCTCCACAGCCCCAGAGAAAGGGACTCCTTCAGCATCCCAACAGCCTGAAGGAACTGTGGGATTCCCCCCAATTTTTGGGGGGAAACTGAGGCAGGAAGAAGGGAACCCCCCCTCACGCTCCAGAGCAGGACGGCACAGGCGCGTTTTTGGGGAGTCGGGGAACAGGAGCCATTTCCCACGGCAGACCCCAACACCAGCTTTGGGAATTCCCCTCCCCAGCCCTGACCTGCCCCAGGTCACCTCCCCACCGCACCAAATGTTGGGTTTTCCAAGTGGAAGCGGCGCCGGATCCCGGCAGGGCAGGCAGAGCCGGGGTCCCGCTTGGAGCCATGGAATGGGAATTCACTGGGAATATGGAATGCACCTCTTCCCCCCCCCAGGTGTTTTGGGTAATTATATATGTACCCACAGGCCGCCCACGCCGTGCATTTACCCACTGGCTACGTATACACACATATATACACATACATACACATATATGTATATATATAAGATCCCTTGGGACGATGAGCATGGGATGAGCGACTCCGGCGCCGGCACAAGGGGCTGGACATTGGGAAGAGGGGCCAAAAGCGGAGCTGGAAGCAGGGAACCCCTCATGATGTGGAGGCAGGAGGAGCACAGGCAGAGGGTTCCGAGCCCCCTCGGCACAGCCAAGCGCCCGGCACCGACCCCCCCAATTTCAGCACCGACCCCCTGCCCCGGCGCGGCCGTGGGAAAACAGGAAACCGGAGCTATGATTAGAAAAGGGAATTTTGGAACTGCTCCCCCATCCCAGCAGGTGCCCCTCGACCTCTGTCCTTCCCATCCGTCCATCTGTCCCGCTCCCTGTCCCGCCAGGAGCCGACAGCAGCGCCCACACGGATGAACCTCAGCCACGTGGCCCCCAAACCACCAGCAGGACACGGCACAGACCCCCCCACCAGAGCCAGGACCCCCCGTGCAAAGCTGGGCAGGGGCCGCAAAGCCACGGGAGGGTATTTTGGGGAGAAAAGCGCAAACATCACGTGTTTCCCCGCCCCCACCTGGGGAGGGCTGGCTAAAGAAACGAGGAGTTATTGGTAAAAGCAGCGTGCTCGGAGCTGGATGAACAAGAGGGAAGAAATGGTCGGCGTTGCCAAAATAACGATCAAAATCCCTGTTCCTGTCCCGGTTTCGTGTGGTAAATCCCGCGGTGTTTGGTCGGGAACGGCGTCCCCCCTCTCCCGGGGCTGGGGGAGGGAGTGGGAGAGGGGAGAAAGCAGATGGAAAAATAGAGATATGTATATATATATATAAAAACTCCCTTTTTTTCTCTTTTCTCAGCTAACTATGAAAAATGGAAGCTGACATGCAGCAAAGGCGGAAAAAAAAGGAAAATCCATTAAAATGGAAATTGTGGAGGGTGGGGAAATGCTGCGGCGCATCTCTGCGGGGCATGGGGGTGGCAGGGCTCTCTGTGCCCCCAGATTTTGGCTGGGCAGGGGAAAACCCCCCCAGGGGTAACATCTCCAGTGGCGTGGTCCCAACCACGGAGGGAAGAGCCCGGCATCCTCCACAGGCACCGGATTTGGATGCTGAGGGGATGGCAAAGGTTTATCCCAGGGGACAAGGAGGGTGCCCAAAGCACAGTGGGGACCCAAGCGGGAACGAGGGACGTGGGAAGAGCAAGCAGGAAGATGCGCAGAGCCCCAAAAGCAGGGGCTGAACCCCGGATTCCCACGGCATCGCCGCTCCGCCGGGCCACGGGGGGGAAGCGGCAGCACCCTAAAGAGACCAAAAGCCTCCTTCCCATGGGGAGGGAAGAGCGGGAGAAGCCGGAGAGCCGGGGCTGGGGGTGGCGAGGGGAGAGCGGGGGCAGCGGTGCCGGAGCCGTCAGGTGGTTGGTACTCACAGGGTGGCCTCTGGAGCCAGGTGGGCGCAGCTGCCTGGGGAGACGTGTCGCTGAGGCTCCAGATTGATGGGAGGTAGATGATGGCACGGGTGGGCACGAGCTCACTAGAGCCTTCCAACTTCCTACCCAACTGCCGCTAAGTCAAGCTACAGTTCTCTAGGGAACGCCTCTACCTTGGCAGCCCTCTCTGTCTCGCCTTCGCTGAAATAAAAAGAAACAAGAGATTTCTTTTCACGGCACCGCCGGGAGAAAAGGGGCAGCTCAAGGGGCAGCTCAAGGGGCAGCTCCCGGGGCCCGGCAAGCGACCACCGACCCGGCACGGCTGGAAAATGGGGGGGCTGGAGGCGAGGGGAGGGGTTTGGGGGGCAGCAGAGCAGCACTAGGTGGCTCAGCGTGTCCTCGACGCCGAGCGTGGTGTCCCCCCGAGTGTCCCAGCGAGGGCACCGGGGCACAGCTCCCGCCTGCCCTCCCCGTGCCAAGCGGCGAGCGCAGGAAAGCCGGCGGCGGCCCGAGACGGCGCGGTGGGCGAGAGCCAAGCAGGGGGAGGTCCCCCGAGTGTCCCCCCCCACCCAAATCCCACACCAGGGACAGTGACACCGCGTCCCCGGGCCAGAGAACCCAGCTCTGCCCCGCGCTGTGCCTCAGTTTCCCCCCAAAACACAAGGCCCCCCCCATAAGAACAAGTATCCCTGGGGTTTGCCTGGAGCAGGAGGGTTTTTGGAGGGAAAGCCCATCCACAAACCCCCCACATGCCAAAGCCACCGGGGTGGGAAGCAGCATCCGGCCCCATCCTCAGGGAAGGCACATCCCTTCCCGCCCCGACTGTGCTCATCCGGGAGGGATTCACCCCGCAGCCGAGGGGGCAGGAGGCCGGGAAGCAGGAAGGCCAGGAGAGCCCCAAGCCACGGGGGGCTCGGGGAGGGGGTGGCCCCGCGCCGCAAGAATTCACCCAAGATGGAACCAATTAAAGCCCCGGCTTCCGCCCCCCGAAGGGCCCTGGGCTGGGGCTTCTCCTCCTTCTGCATTTCCAGCAAAACCGACCCAAAACGAGCCCCCCAGGCCAGGCCGGGGGGTCTCCGCGTGGTAAAGGGGGTGTGCGGGGCAGGGTGAGGAGCCGAGCGCTGGCGGCAAGCGGGAGGGGGGGCAAAGCCACGCTGGGGACCACCACGGGGTGCCCAAGTCAGGGGGAAGCCCCCAAAGGGTGGGGGCTGAGGCAGCGTGACCCTGAATCCGCAGGGGGGGTCGTGTCATCCACCGAAGGGACACGGGGACAGCCCGCGGGGAGCCCGTGGGGGTGACGCTCGTGCCAAACGCGGGGCACACGTTCCACCAAAACACACCGGCGCGGGGGGTCCTGCTCCCCCCACACCCCAAACATCCCCTTCGAGGAGACCAGCAAGGCAAAGGCAGCACCCACAAACCAGCCCGGGGGGCAACCAACACCCCCTCCAACTGGCAAGGGGGGGTGACAGCACGCGGGGACACCGAGGCACGGGCAGGGTTCATCCCGAGGGGGGAGCGGACGCGCCGGATCCAACATGCACTTGTCGTGACATCGCACCCACCTCCCGAAAATCCACATTTTTAAGGGAAGAAAACACGAGGAGGAGGGGGGGGCCGAGGGAGAAAATGATTATTTTAGGCGTATAAAGGCACGTTTCTTAAAAGGGAAACATCAAGGGGTCTTATCTATGCTGGGAGTGGGCAGGGGGCAGGCAGGGAGCCTCCCCGAACCCCCCCAGGACCCCCTGCCCCTATTTGTATATAAATATATATATCCACACGTAATGCCTGGATTGTGGCGTGCATATACACATTATTTCCACCAGCACACAAATGCATGCACACCCTCAAGTCGTAACGCTATTCCAGCATGGAAATACATAAAAAACAGGGATTTTTTTCCTTTTCCCCCTCCATCCAGCCACCAATGCCCACCTCTGCGAGTACTGGCGTTGCTTCCCCTTATCCGCGTCCATCTCCAGCTCTAGCTGAGACCGGGTGCTGCACGTGGGGCGTTTTTCTACGGGGGGACAAGGAGGAGGACAACTTCACACACCCCGAACCCCCCGCCAGCCCCCGGCGCGCGAGATCCCACAGCGGAGGAACAAAAGCGAAGCGGCTCCGACCTACCCGACCCGTGGGAACGTGGGGTTTTGCCTGAAAATAGAGAGAAAACAACAAAAAAAAAAAAAAAAA